TGAAGAAGACCTGAGAAAATGACAAGCACCATAATCTTACAGACATATACTGTACAGCAAGTTATTCTCAGGTATAAATATCATGCTCCACGTAAGAACCTCATGATCATGTTCATCAGTAACAGTTAAATCCCCAGCATTAGTGTTGCAACCAGAAGAATATAAATTGCATGCAAACCTTTCCTGTTAAAAATAAGTTTTCACCAAGACAAAAAGAAATATTGAGATATTTTAGTATTAATGAGAGAATTTCAATCCTATTTTTTATAATTGTCTATAACATCAAAAGTTTATTTTCCAAAGATGTGATTTCTACATTTGTGTCGATGTTTGGTTGATTTCAGATCCAGTCTACAGGGTGTTTCATATGTATGTAACCCCCCCCCCTCCCATAAACTCACCAGACACGTGGCATCACTACCCTATCATGTGATATATCATTTTGTTCTTCATGAAAAGTTATATAGGATGGCAAAGTCTCAGAATATCCATATTATATTATATATCCATATATGCTATCCTTATATCTTTGTACATAACTGTCACACTCGTTTACACTGAACTCTGCCACGATGACAACTGCAAGGAATGTGCAATATAGAAACTAAAATTCCCCCCAAAATAACCCATACCCACATACTTGGATAAATTGTATATTTTTCAGGGGCGTCACTGTATTCTGAAACTTTGCAATGATAATATAACTTTCCATAAGGAACAAAATGATTTATAACAAGATAGAGTGGCAATGCTACATGTATGAGTTCATGGGGGGAGGGGTTGCATACATATGAAACACTCTGTATGCCATGAATTTAATAAAATTGTGTTATTAACCAGGGGGAGGTTGGGGGTTCACTCTAAAAAAAATAGGTAGGCATGTGCAGCATGGGCAATTTTGGCCTTGGGCATCAACCAGGGAAACTGCCCAATCTAAAGAGAAAAAGCATGGATAAATATCTGGTCAAATATTAGTTTTCTGAAAAATGGTATTGAATTAGTTAAATCAATAACCAAGGCACAATAAAAAATAACCTGAACGTGGATTTTGTAGTCAATGTATGGATATTTCACAAAATTATGTTTCAGCCAACTCCAGGAATTCCACATGGACATATCTATGAAGATAAGAGAAATACACAAGGAAACTTTCAATCTTGAAATTGACATATTAGAAAAAATGCTCAAAGAGGGGTCTTTGGTGCAGCACATAGGTAAGAGGTACAGTAAAACCTGTCTAATCCGAACGCCATTGGGACTGGATAGAAGCGTTCGGATTAGGAGGTGTTCACATTTCGAGGTTTTTGCATCTGCAATAATCCGGATTCTGAAGAAATGTGAACACATTCTCGGTAAATATTTATAGTTCTTTTAGCTTCATGGCATTCCAGAAATTTGAAAATTTGATTCTAATGAATCTAATCATGCTCAAAAGCCCCATTATGAATGAGACCATTCAAGATTATTTCCCAAAGTTTTGATATTATGACAAAATTTGAGCAATTTTATATAAAACATCAGAAATTTTATGAAAAGTGTTCAGATTAGACAGGTGATTTGCTGAATTTTTCAAATATGACAGTTCACTGTTCAAATTGGGAGGGGTTCACATTTTAAGGTTTTTTTAACATGGGAGTCAATGGGAGGAAAAAATGGGACCGAAAAAAGTGTTCAGATTGGGAGGTGTTCGGATTAGCCAGGTGTTCAGATATACAGGTTCTACTGTATATTAGAGTGAAGCCCCTTGCTGTTATGTTCAGTCTCCTTAAGCTTGAGAAGACAATGGAGCTGCATCTATTTTTCTTAGATTTAGGGAAACATTCTATCTGTATATGCATTACCATGTTATCATATGCAAGTTAACCAGCTTGTGGTGAAACTTGTGACTATTTTATAATAGTATGAAAATTGATTTTAACAAATTGATTTAAAAATTCCATTTTAATCATTATTTTGAGATAAACATTGGTGAGTGTTCCACTGAAATGTTGTGTTTCACAGTATGTTTTACTCTCAGATTTTAATTTTTTGATTTCAGAACTATTGCTCAACAATGAAGTATAGATGATGCCAGAAGCCTGGTGACACTGCATGTATCAACTGCGATGAAGCTGCCAGTAAAGCAGGCTGATCTTGAACCAGAAGGGTCTGATTAATGGTTAGAAATAAAACCGTTCTAATATACATTTGGTTTCCGATCCATTCAAGTGGAAAATTCCAGAGTGGAAAAACTTTCCACTCAAGGTATTGTATCAATTAGAGATGAACTACACTAAAATACCTGTCTGGGAGTGGTGACTTAGACTGTGTCTCGAGACATCATCCATCATGAACACACATCAAGTCATGCAATTTGTGTCAAATGGTGAGCAGTGTTGCAAATGGTTCTTGAAGGGGTTTTTGACAAATGTCACACAAGCGTAGGTTGTCACAGGGAGATTTCAACAAGAAGATGAATTTACATTGATTGGGTTGGGAGGGGTGCCACATGAGAGAAGGATGTCAGACAAGCAGAGGGTGTCACAGGAGTGATGTGTGTCACAAAGGGGGGGGGGGGTTCAAACTAGATAGTGTTACAGGGGTTGGTGACACATGAGAGGAGGATGTCACACAACTGGAGGGTGTCACAGGAAGGGTGTCAAAGGAGGGGAGGATGTCACTGGGGTGTCAAGCAAGAGGATGAATTTACAGGAATTGGTGACAAAAAAAAGTGTTCAAAGTAAAGGCTAAAAATGTCACACAAGAGGAGGATGTCAGAAGGGGAAGCTCTCACAGGGGAAAGGGTGTAACATAAGAGGAGGATGTCACTCACAAGCAGAGGACATAGCAGGAGGGGTTGTTACAGGTTGGGATAGTGTTACAGAAGGAGTTGTTAGACAAGAGAATATATGTCACATGAGAGAAAGATGTCACAAGTGGAGTGTGTAATCAACCCCTCTAACCCCCCTGTGATACTTTTCTGTTTGACACCAATCCCTGTAACACCCTTCCCTCCTGTTACACTTTTTCTGTGACACCCTCCTCTCGTGTGAAATTCTAAGCCTTTCCCCTATGGCATCCTTTCTTTCTGTCACCAATGCATTGTCCTCTCGACTGACAATCCCCCTGTGACACACTTCCTGTGACACCCTCCACTTGTGTGATATCCTTGTCACCAACTCCTGTAACAGCCCCTTGTAACAACATCCTCTTGTTTGACACTCCCTGTGACTCCCAAACCCCTCGTTGATGCCCTCCACTCCTGAGACACCCTTCCTGTGACCCCCTCTGCTTGTGTGACATCTTCCTCTAATGTGACATCTCTCCCCCTGTGACACCCTATGCTTGTAACATATTCATCCAGAATAGCTATATTACTGACTCCATGTGCTGATTGCAATCATTTTACTGACTCACTTGCCAAATGCGCCGGGAATATACTATATTTCGATCAGTGTTAAGACGTGTTATTAATTATTTACAATTCACATGCTTGAGCGTCACCAGGGGACTGGTCATCCTTGTTATGAGGAATATGGCATATTCATGGTTGCACGGTATTTGTTATACAGGGGAATATGCCATAGTCACCTGTGGTATATGCCATATTTCACAGATGAGTATGGCATATTCTGCAGTGAATATGTGATACATTGATTTCAGTGAAAACCTGATACTCACCTGCAGAATATGTCATACTCACTTGTGGAATATGCCATATACCACGGTGAGTATGACATAAACTGCTTGTGAAACATGATACAGAAAGCCTTGATTTGATTGAAAAAATAGAATCTAAATGAAAAATATGAATGCTGGATTTATTGAGTCAGTTTATTACGTGTGATTACTGAGTGATACTTCTGCATTACTTGATATATTCAATTTACTGTACTGTTGATTCAGTAATAATTTATAAACTTTTAGAAAATAATCCTGTCGTTCAATCAATGTAATTTGTTACGTGGTAAACAAGATATATGTCATATTCCAAAAACATGTATGGCATATTCATTATTCTCTTGCAGTGTATGACAGATTCACCTGCAGTATATGGCATACACACATTCCAATCTAATTGTCAATCATTATGATTCTGTTAATCGGTAAACATGATACAAATAGAGATGATATTCCGCAACAAATGTGACATATTCACCTACAGTATGATGGCATGTTTACCAACCAGTGAGAATGCGATATGGAAGTATGCAATTGTCAATT